CCGTGTGGGAGAGAGAGGGAGGCAGAGCAAGAAATACAGGCGGATGGATTCAAAGTATGCTTTCAAAACTCACGGCTGATTTGTCCCGACGCTGCTTCTGATCCCATTAATGATTCAGAGCACCCCCTCCCCTTTTGGCGCCCCTGCCGCGTCGCGCCGCTCTGCCGCGCCTCCCCTTGATGTGATTTTCGGCAGGTCTGTTTGTGCTAGTTCTTCGACACCGTGGCGGCGCGGCTCGGCGCGGCTCGGCGCGGTCCTCGTCCGCGGGAACCCGGCTAGTTCCGAAGAGCGTTTTCCTCGCTCTGTCTCTCTCGCACCCATGGGATGTTCCGCACCGGGGCGGGAGAGAGAGAAAGAGTGACGAGGCACTGTCAGCGTGGTGGTGGAGTGCGGCTCAGTTCTGTGGACACTTCATTACACGACCAGCAGAACCTAATTCCGCGAGTGGCCCAGTGCAGTGGCGCGGGGGCCCCCCTTGGGTCCCCCTTGGCGCCCCCGGCCCGAGCCTCGGCCCGCTCGGCGCTCGGCCCCGGCTAGTCCGGCGATCCGCCGAACCTTTGCCAAGTTTCGGCTCCGTTTAAGTTTACCGAGGCCTTTGTGTCGACTGCGCTGCTCGCGCTTCTCCGGGTGTTTCGGTGTTTCGCCGCCGCGCCGTCCCGGGGATGTACAGTGGCGACAACTTCAGTCGGTAATCCCACGCCCTGCAGACTGATTCCGAGAGTCGTTTTCGCCGCTCTGTCTCACTCGCACATGGGGCGACCCGTATACGTGCGAGATAGGCAGAGCGATGAAAACGACTCTCGGAATCAGTCCTTTGGGGTGCCGAGGCGCCGAGGCTTGGCTGCCAAGCCGCCTGCACCGTGCAGTCTCCACAGTGTAGGCGACGGGCGGAGCCGCGAAAAGATGGAGCACCTCCTGGAGGAGTCTTGCCGCGCGGTACCGCGACGACCAGCGCTCTCGTCGCTCCGCCATGCACCTCCTCCATCATCTCTCTCGCACTCACGGGGCGCTCCCGAAGGTTGCGGTGGGAGCGCAGTTCGAAATCAGACCTCAAAGTCAGAGACAGTCGAAACAGTCACGGACAGTCAGTCTCAAGTCACATTCCACTGCACCCCTCGCAAGGTTAATCGCAAGATCGCTCCCTGTCGCGATGCGCGTTCCGGTCACCGAGTGTCTCGTCGTCACCGTGACGCCTGGCAGTGTCCCCCCCCCCCCCCTCTCCGGGGTGCGAGCCGGACCGTGCCTGGACTAGGGATGTCGCCAATTTCGCGCTCTATTGAAGGGAATAATGCGTCCGCGCTGCAGCGCCTCGCAGCGCCTCGCAGCGCCGCCCCCAGGTGCGCGACAGAATGGCCAGAATGCTGCACCGTCCTCTCCTTCCGCCTTTCGGCCGCTGCACTTTTTTATCCCTCCAATTTTATTCTGCCATGCACCGCGCGCCGCGCGTCGCCCCGTGCCGCCTGCCCAGGCCGGCCAGCGGACTGACTCCGAGTCGCTCGTCGCTGTCTCGCTCGCACCTGTGCGGGACGCCCCTGGAGTGCGAGACGACTCTCGGTCTGGCGCGCTGGCAGTCACGTGGGCCGCCGCGCCGCTGCCCATTGGCCGTTGCCGCTGGCGCCGCTGGCCCGGCACAAGGGAGGCGGGCAAGGGATGAAGGATAAGGGCGTAGGGCCAAAGGGCTGCTGCACTGCTGCACCCGGGAGAAGGCGTTCTTCATGTCCATCCCGGTGTCCCTGCCGGGCTTTGTAGCCCTGTCTCTCTCGCACCGCAACCGAGAGCCCTGTGAGTGCGAGAGAGACAGCGACAAAGCGATCTTCCGAATCACTAGGCAGGGACACCGGCAATGGCTTGAAGAACGCCTTCTGCCTCTCTCGCACCCTCACGGAGCGCCCCGTGGGTGCGAGCGAGACGGAGCGTCTCCTCCGAATCCCTCGGCTGCTCCGTCCTCGCCTTTGCGAAGCTGTGGGGGCTCGGCCATGTGAGAAGCGGCAGCAGCAGGCGTTGGTCCAACTGACCAAGCAGACATGCATTTCAAAATCCTGAGACCCTACCCCGACGTCATTTCCTGGCGCTGGAAAATTCGCTGTTTTATTGACAGTTCCATTACCTCGACGCGAACCCTCTGGCCCGGATAATTTCTCATACATTAGCCTATTTTCTTTTCGTCGCTGGAAGGATGACGTCACGGAGTTCTCCTCGTGGGGAGGCTTCTGAAAGGCCTTGCCATTTTTTAATTACCTGAGGGCTGTTGTCTCCCCGACGCGAGGCAGGGCCGGGCCCGGCCGGCGGGGCGCGCGGTGGGCTCAGGACCACGTTAGGAGCGCCCTTTTTCTTTTTTTCTGGAGCAGCCCGCCCGCTGCCGGGCGAGTCTGTCTCTCGCAACGGTGCTGGGCGCCCCATGAGTGCGACAGAGACAGAGCGAGCCTGCTGGAGCGGCCGCAGAATACACACGCGGGCATGCCGGGGCACTGCCAGGCCGGGGCACTGCCAGGCCGGGGCACTGCCAGGCAGCCGCGGCAAGTCCGTGGCGCTTTCCCCCGAGTTTGCTTTAACCGCAAAACAATTTCCCGGGAAACGGTTTAATATGTAAGCCGACCTCCTCGTCGCTCTTCCTCGCCTAAAAGCAGCGCCCTCGCCAAACCCTGGAAACGCGCTGAAATAATCATAAAACGTCATAAATTTGAGATCCAACTGTCGGCTTGGCCGTAACCCCTTTTCACGGCGAACGAGGCAGGAAAACACGGCGGCGCAGCCAGCCCGTCGCCGGCCCGATTTCCAAAGGCGTAAAGCTGATTACGCGAGACGGCCGCTTGGCTTTTGTATTCATAAAGACTAGATCATTTCTCCTCATCGACGAACCGGCAGCAGCCGGCGGAAACATCGCCATCGCCGACTTTGGCCATAACGGGGCCATCACGCCGGAGAGGTAGGCAGCCCAACGCGCGTGCGCTGCGGGTGGCGGCCGCAGTGCGCCAGAAGACCGGTGGAGGCGGCCTAAACTCTAGACGCGTTTCGAGCTCCAGAGCGTTGCTACACATGACTCAAACCGAACGTGTGACCCCACCAATGGATTTCTCCTTCGGAGAGCAATCCATTGATGGGGTCACACGTTCGGTTCGAGTCTCATTTAGCGACTCTGGAGCTCAAAACGCGTCAAAAAGTTTGGCCGCCTCCACCGGTCTTCTGGCTCACTGTGCAATGTTTGCAAGACCATCTGAGGCATGATCAACGAATAAAAGCGAAAGAAAATTGTTTTCCCGATAAATTCAACAACTTTCAAACCTGAGCTCGGCGAAATCGGACACGGCTCGGCGGCCGATCGGCGGCTCCAGGAAAGGGTAGCTGGTAGCTCCGCCGGCGCGTCGGCACGCCGCCGTACCGCAGATTATAAACTTTAAGCAATGCAATCTTCGCCACTGCCATTATGGGGCGGCGGGCGTGCCGGGCGGGCGGGCCGGGCGGTGCGGCTCCAGGTGAGGGGGGAGGAGTGAGGGAGGGGGTTCCGGCCCAGCATCACGCATTCATGAGCGAGTCTCCTTGCCACCCTCCCGATCCCCCAGAACCCTCGGCGTCATTGTATCAAAACCGCCTCCCAAGTGTGTGTCGGCGGTGTAATGGCCGGGCGGGACACTACACTGGCGGCAACAAGCACGCCAAGCACGGCGTCATGCTGCGCGGGGGCGGGGCGGCGCACGCAAGGCACACGCCTCCTGCCCGGCCGCGCCCCAAACACGGCAGTCTGTCCTTGTCGCACTGCAGGCAAACATGGACTGGGCCACCACACTGCAGGCGCACCCGGACCGGGTCGTCCTTCCGAACGACGGCTTGTCGGGGCGGCGAAGTGTCCCCCTTGTCTCGGACAGTGCCGGGCAGGGCGCGCGGTGCGGCGCGGTGCGCATATGGGTAGGAAATAAGCTCATCGGGGTGCTTCCGGGAGGCAGGGCCATGGCAGGGCGTAACTAGCGCCAGGGCCTCGTGGGGCAGGGCAGGGCAGGGCAGGGCAGGGCGCCTCGGCGGCCAGCACTGGTGCCGAACGGTGCTCCATCGCTGCCTCTCTCGCAGCCCCGGGCCGCCCCGTAGGTGCGAGAGAGACAGGCTGTTGGGCAGCGCAGGGCACCTCGGCGGCCAGCGCGGGATTCCGCCCGGCCGGCCTACATCCATTCCACGCCCATTCCCATTTCCAAAAGTTTCGCTTCATATTTTATGCGGGCCGTTCCGGTGAGGAGATGAAGTGAACAAAGGGGGACGCTGCGTGGTGGCGCGGGCCGGCTCCAAACAGTGCCGCGTCGCGCTGTCTCTCTCGCACCTCTGCGGAACGCCCCGGGAGTGCGAGAGAGACAGAGCGACCCTTGGGGGAGGGGGCAAAGCAGCACTTTTTGCCTACTTGCAGGAGCAAAGTATGGCTTTTGCCTACCTTCCAGGCGGCTATCTAGGTAATACAGGGGGAGGGGGCAAAACCCCCTTTGCCTCCTCACCCCGCCCCTGTATATCTGCACCTGATTAGCGACCCGCAGATTCGACATCGACTCGTACTCGACACACAGCCCCCTCCCCCTCTCCCACAACCACCCCCTAACCTTGCCGAGCACTAATTTGACGCGGAACGCCTTAACACCTCCACGCCACACCATATCGACAGCACGCCCAACTTTGAGTCCTCCGAGAGCCAAATCGTGTCACTACTAATCTTCGCTCTGGATGGGGCGCCGGAGTGCCGCCGGCGCCGCCGTCCGTTGCGAAGCCACCAGACTGATTCCGAGAGTCGTTTTCGTCGCTCTGTCTCTCTCGCACTCATGGGCGCCCCGCAAAGGCCCGAGAGGGACAGACAGTCGAAAACGACTCTCGGAATCAGTCCACTGGGTCGGATTCGGAGCGGGTGTCCTCCCCGTCACGGACAGATGGCGATGGCGGGGGTGGAGCGGAGGACACCACTTGAATGCCCGCTGAGGCAAGCAGCCAGTACGGGACTCAGGTTTGAGTTGAGAGGGAACACTAGCGGCAAAGTCAGACAAATATGCTTCTGTTGAAAAGATTATAAAAATCAAAAAAGTTGTTCACAAAGCAAACGAAAACAATTAAACAATCACCAACGCGCCAGCTCGTGGAAGACCTTGACATTGACAGAGGACGCGATGGCAAAGCGACTGGCGCCGGCCTCGACTAGACTTGCCAGCACTGGGCTGCTTGACTGCAGCGTCTGCCACTCGTTCGACTTCACCACGGACCCCAAATTGGCCATCACGATTTCACACAGTCGCTTTTTCATGGTGTCGGTGACGACGGGCCACTTGTCGGCCTCTATTAGAATGCCGAGGGCGCGAAGACCGTCCAGCTCCCACAGGCACATCTCGCAGCGTGCCTTGAGTTGCTCCACCTGTAGCCACAAAATGTTGCTCTACTTTAGGGAGACAAATCTTAAAGGGCATTGACAAAGCTGGCTTGTTTTAATGTTGCTGCTGGAGGAAAGAGCGTTCTTTTTTTTTTTTGGGGGGGGGGGGAATATTTTGTATACATACAGGGTGAGTTTTCTCACTGTGTCAATAATTTGCAGGCAGTTTGGGCATCTCTAGGGGACCATTTTTCACCAATGAACTAGTGGGCGCAAACGTCTAGATACGGAGATAATTGGTGTTTTGAATTTGGATTTTGCGCCTACAAGGTAGGCACCCAGTGCCACTGAGGGTGGCAGGACCTGTCGAGGGGGTGTCGCGGGACTAGCAGTACTCGCGGGAGTGCCACTTACCTCGCGGAAGTATCCGTGGAATCCCGCCACCCTCGCAAAGACAGCCGTGAGATCCACTGTAACGGGGGCCACCATGACAGCCCCTTGAGACCCGCGGCAACCCCTCCCAAAAGACATTTGCAAGGTCCGCCGCACCCCTTCGAGACTCGAAGCACCCCTCCTAGACCCGCGACACCCCCACGTGAGGTCCTGCGCCCATCAGTGGCAGCGGGTGCCTACCTCGCAGGCGCGAAGGCCAATTACAAAGCACCAATTATCTCCGTACCTAGACGTTTGCGCCCACTAGTTCATTGGTAGAAAATGATCCCCTTGGGGTGCCCAAACTACCTCCAAATTATTGACACATTGAGAAAACTCACCCTGTATAAGTACAAGAATGAGGTTTGAAAGGGTCAGGCGCGGTTTTCTTGGGAGGAGGGCACCCGGCAGGTGGCTTGAAAAGTAGGCATAAATATGCGCTTTTCCAACCTTGGAAAAGGATTCGTCCCGTAGAATGTATCTTAAAGAACTTTGCAAATTCAAGCTACTGAATTTATGTGTATATTGACCATATGAATTGTTGCCAAAGCTAGTGTAAAATGTTTAAGCAAGTTTCAAAATATTGGGTATTTTCAAATTCAATTTATGACAATGCTATAGAACACTTAAATTGAAACAGTACATTTAACAGTCAAAATCAAAAGTGTAGTCTTAAATTATGATATTTTCACAAGGTTTCAAGGTTAACACAACCTGCACACCAAAGTTACTTTGTACTTACCTGGTATCGCTCAGAAAGACCTAATAACTCAAGCTCGCTTCCTTTCCAACAAATATCTTGCAAGTAGAGGAAATCTAAAAATTTCCCAAAAGCCTCTTTGGATACATCTTCAATGACAACAGTTTCAGCATATTTTTCTTTGAAGTCTCCACAGAACATGGCCTGTAACAAAGAATAAAGAGTGGGGTCAAAACAGGTTCAAATCACGCATTTCCATTATTCTTTGGGTTCACTGATACTACTCACTTTGAACACACAGCTGGTTGCACTCAAAACAGCCTTGTGAGCAGGGAAGTCATGGTCACCAACTCGAAGCTGAATGTCGCAGAGAGGAGAGCCTGAGCGTCGAGCTACATTCAAACTTTCAGTAATAGAGACCCCTCGAAGGACTCTGGGTGCAGCATACACCTTCAAATTATGAAAAACAGAAACTTTAATACCCAGTTCAGGAATATTCCTTGAAATCACATATAATCAAGATGGTGAAATTAAATCTATTCTGCCATTCAAAATCTCTGAGTGATTTCTTAACTATATGTGTATAAATAACTCATCAGTTGCTTCAAAAGTTAATACGCTTTACTTCAAGTCTAAGCAACAAAAAACTGGCAAGGGAATCTATCTTTTTGGTATAGGAATGCACTTATATGAGTTTGAATTGCTCTAAGTTCATTCTTTCGTGACTTGTCAAAAATTTGATGTTTTATGACTTCATTTGAATTTTTAATATCTGTTGTACTCTCAACTAGACTCTTAAATATTATTTTTTTCCAAAAAGGGACAGAAAGCCAGATGCCCCCTATCTACAACCGCTTACCTCTCCAGGGTTTCCTGTGCTGGTAAGCGGTTGTAGATAGGGGGCATCCTCTTAATTTTTCCAAATGTAAAACCTTTAGTAGGTATCAGAGAAACCAAATTGAGAAATTTCCTCACAATCTCTTGTATACATCAGAACCTGAAACGGTTTTCAAATTTTTCCGATCCAATGAAAGATACAGGTAGATGTTTTGCTATCACTCTATTAACAACTCACATTCGACCTTTTTGAGAAATCACCACACCTGACCTAATAACTGGGCAAGGTTCTATTTTTATTTTTACTGAAATTAAATCCTAGCTCGGGTCAGCCCTTAATGTAAGCTTATCTGAATATCTTTGTTAGGTTACAGTGAAAGTAAGTTGAACAGACAAACCCATAGTTTCAATGTGAAGGAAGGCTGCTTCAAGTTGAAATAACAGAAATCCATTATCTTCAGGGTGTCTTTTGTATCCATTTGTGACTTGTCCGGAATAAGGAGCGTCATATAATGGTCATCTTCTCTCTTCGGCGACGGCGAAGTCCATGACACTCTTGACTTGACAAGCAGTTCCCGAGATCTATGACCACTACTAGGCTGACGTAACACACCTTCGATTATCCTTGTTTTTTTATGGTGCAAATGAATATTAAATAATAATTCAGCATTGCAGCGCACCGGGTATGGGCTGCAGAAGTCCGCACGGTCCTCCCTAGGGGGCAGATTGCTCAAAATCTCCCAAGGCACTACACACTCTACTGCAATCACAGGCTCCCAGACCAGATTATTATAGCGCACATCCATTGTTGCTGCCAATCCGTTCAATCGATACGAAAATATGAAGACGAAAACAAATTGCAGATACTAGAGGCAACACATGTAAAGGAACACTGAAGGAACGCAACACAACCACCACCACACCACCAGAAACAACAACAAGCCTCCTGACAGTGCTGCCAACTGCTCGCAGCTGAGGTTCCACAGTGAGCAGTGACACCAACACTGTCTTTGGAAAGACACGGAGGGGAGTGGCGACGCGTGGAGCCTTCCAGAGGGCGGAGGCGGAGGCTGTGCGAAGTGTTAGTGCAGTGTTAGTGGCGGGACGCGGGAAGGAAGTAACACAACAGGGCACGTGCGAACTTTGACTTTGGCGCAGATCAGCCCAGATGTTTTCGTGCAATCATTAATGTCCTCTCCTTTCGGGCGAAGTTGAGTGTGGTCGTTGGGTGAGGTTAGGGTTAGGGCCGTCCTTCGCGCGCAAGCGTCGCTTTCCTGCGAAAACGACCGAGCGGCCCAGGCCCGCCCAGGCCCAGGCCGTCAGGGACTCGAAAGGCTGCATTGGAAATGGCGGTGCCATCTGCGGAGCAGACGAGTGCTGTGCCTCGGACCAGGCTCCGAGTCCGCGGCGCCGCAGCGGGGCAGCGGAGCGCGCCAGCGCAGCGCACGCAGAGGGAAGGACCACCAGGACAGCGCGCCGGTCCCCCGCACTCCACTTGCTCCGCTGCACAGGGCGGCGACGAGCTCCAGCCGCCAATCGGGGAACAGAGGACAGGATTGCTGCGCTGCGACAACGAAAAGGTGTCAGAGTCGCCGATTCAGAGTCGCCGATTCAGAGTCGCCGATTCCACTCGACGTAGCGATCTTGGCCAATCAACGTTCTCGGTTTTGGCGGCCATGCTCTGCTGTTCTCTTTTTCGGATCCGCTCTCGATGGAGTAGGATTACGGAAATGCTCTATTCCCGACCAGCTCAGCCCATGTCGCGCGGAATGTACACACGATTACAGGCTGCCCGCCCCCGGGACCACTTGGGCCCTCAAAATAATTCCCCCGCCCCGCCCCGCCCGGCTCCACTACACCGTTGATTGAGATTCAGCGCGCAGCAGCGCCCGTCCGAGCGTCGCGACGCGTTAATAAAAACGATCCGACCGCAACTACACTATCCGCGCTCCGCGGCACGCTCGGCTTGGCGCGCAAAGCGAGCAGCACGCGGCAAAAATCAGCGCCGACAACAACAACGACAACAACAACAGGAGCAATCAGCGACGCGCGGCGGCGGTTCATGACGTCGCGACGTCCCTTTTTGCAACTTTTATCGGCTCGTCCATCCAAGCTGGCTGGCAGCGGTCACGTCCAGCCAATGCCGTGCTTGTCACTCGCTTGTCTCGCGTGTGCGGGCCGTGGGGCCGTGGGGCCCGGCCGGGGCAGTGTATGGAAATGACTCCCGTGGCGAGGTGCGGGCCGGGGGGGATGAAGAGGGGGGGGGGGGTGAATGCAGCTCGTTAGAGTGTATTGACAGGTGGAGCCCTGCCGGCCCGGCCCATGGCTTCGCCCATGCCCTTCCGACCCCTCCCCCCCCCCCTCCGGCCTGAGGCACAGGGGGCAGTCCAGGCCGGCCGCTGCAGGGGTGTGGGCGGCTGGAAACAGACGCGCAACTCCATTTGCTGGGGCTGGCCACTTGGGCCGCTTTCGACTTTTGGCGCGGCTCGGGAGTGGCCTGCTGCAGCCAGCAGGCTGATTCCGAGAGTCGTTTTCGTCGCCTGTCTTTTCCGCTCCTACGCGGGACGCCCCACGAGTGTGAGAGAGACAGAGCGACGAAAACAACCCTCGGAATCGGCCTGCCGCCCGGGGTGGCGCGGCTCGGGCGCGAGTCTGTTCGCGGGGCTGGTCGCGTAGGCGCGTCGACTGCAACCTGGTTCCGAACAGGACTTTCGTTGTCCAGCCTCCCCTCTCGCACTCGTGGCGCGGGCCGCAAGGATGCGAGAGAGAGCGACGAAAGTATGGTTCAGCGCCAACGGCCGCGCTGTTTAGACGTGTCTGTCTTTTCGACGTGTGTTTGCGTGTTTCCCCGGCCGACCGCTTCCACTCGTTTGTGCGCGTCGAGGGCGGGCGCGGGGCTTGTTGCACAATTTGCGGCTGATTGGCAGTGGCGGGCCGAGCGGCCGAGGCGAGACGAGGGCGTGAGCCGTGAGCGAGGCCGGCGCCAGGGCGGAGGCAGAGCACAGTGGGCCGAAGGCCGGCGTAGGCGGCCGAAACTCTAGAGACGCGTTTTGAGCTCCAGAGTCGCTAAACACGACTCGAACCGAACGTGTGACCCCACCAATGAATTCCTCGTACGGAGAGCAGTCCATTGGTGGGGTCACGCGTTCGGTTCGAGTCCCATTAAGCGGCTCTGGAGCTGAAAACGCGTCCGGGATTTTGACCGCCTCCACTGGCCTTCTGGCCCACTGTGCAGAGGCCTCGGTATTGGACAGCGCGCGTCACGGCCGTGTCACGCTTGCCAAAGTTGGCCAGTCATGCCCGGCAGTCATCGGGATCCAACTTTGGGGCCGCGGCGCGCGTTCGGCGCTCGGCAGGCCCGCATGCGCGGCGTGGAGCCAGGTGGAGCGGCGCGGCGGGGACTCGGACAGGGCTCCCACACTGGGGCCTCCGCCCTCCGGCACTCCCGGGCACTCCGCCGCACACAGTGCAGTGGCTGTGACTGCAGGCTGCAAGGAAGTCCATCCGGGGTAGTGGGAGATAGGGGGCGTCTGAAAGGTGTAGACGAAAAGCCGCACTTTGCCCCTGTAAGTAGGCAACTTTTGCTACCCCTCTACCCTGCACGTCTCTGGATCTGCCTTTGCGCCTTGAGCACGGCAAAAGGCCAAGTGTCGTTGTGACGTGCTTTGCCGCCTCCACCGCCATGTTCGAGGCGGTGACCGAGCAAGGCCCTGGCCGAGGCATCCACAGCCCCCTCCCACACCTTTCTGCTACCTGCCACTCAGCCCACTGCGTTGTTTCTTTTTTAATCCCAAACTCCGTTCCGACCCGCCATCTGCACTGAACGCTCCCATGAGAGTTAACACGTCAATCCATTAGCATCAGTGCCGCCGGCGCGGAGTGCTGGCTCCGCGCAGTGCTTCTGTCTCTCTCGCACACCGCATGACGCCCCGCAGTGCGAGAGAGACAGGGCGATTGGCTGGCGCTGCTCGGCGCTGCTGCGCGTTATTCGCCCCGATGGCGGTAATGCCGGCCGAATAGTTTGCCGCCGTTCCGCGCTCCGCGTTATTCATATTTGTATTGGCTTTCGAATTGGCGCGTCCGCGGCGCGTCCTGGCACCGACCGCGGCCACGGTTGTGGTTTATGCGTTTACCTGGCCCACCTGGCCGACCCATGGCCGAGGCGACAGTGTGCCGACCAACGCCCCGCCGGCCACGCGTTGTTCCCGTTCTCATCAATGTATTCAGCTTTTTTCCATCTTTTTTTGCGGTGCTGAATATATTTCTTCCGGCATTCTTGTCGGTTAGGGCCCACACCTCGGCCTACACTGCAAAAAAGTGTGCTATGCTCCATTTAGGAGAAACAATGAAAAAAGTACTTTTTTTAGGTGGACCTTCTTCTGAACTGTTCGGCATTGACTCACAATAGTTTTGGGCAGTGATGTTTAAAATCATTTTGAGCCACAAAAATATGATAAAAAATTAATTTAAAGATAATTCCACCTGTTCCATTCTTTACGGCGTTCTAGTTGTTGAAATCAAAAGCAGCAGGCAGCAACGTTTTTAAATGGACAAGAAAATAAAACCCACTTATAGACTCTTTGAATCCAGACTTAAATTTACCATCCTATTATCGAAAATACTTTGCCGTGCATTACCTTCAGTCACTAATGGGAGTAAACAATGCGCGGTGCACTGTGACCCGCCCCACCCCACCACGCCCCACCACGCCCCGCCACGCCCCGCCCCGCCCCACATCGAGCACTCGACGCCACCATCACCAAAGCAAACCGCACCAACAAATCGCGGTCCTCTGAATTGTGCACTTTTCGTTCCCTGCAGCATGCTCTCTACACTCTGCACGGCGTGTCGAGTCCATCGGCAATTTGATGCGCAGGATGACGGATCCAGGGAGTTGCAAGAATTTCAGGGACGTACTGCGTCCTGGTCTTTGTGTAGTGCAGGCGGTACACTGTGCCCTGCCGGGGCCTTGGCCGGGGCGGACGAGCGAGCGGCAGGTCTGCGGCCTGCGGTTCACAATGCCTCGGCCGGGCCATGGCGGCCATGGCGCCCATGGCGTGCTCGCCTCGCCCTCGGCCGAACCGCAGGGAGCCGCAGGGAGCGTTCCTGTTCCGCGTCCCGCGGAGGAAACCAACACGACTCCTATGAATCACCTTTTCAAATTTTCCCCGCCATTGTTTCCGTCATTATTGTGTGCCGGTCCAGCCTGCACACTGACTCCGAGAGTCGTTCCGTCTCTCTCGCACCCACGCGGGGCGCCCGCCGAGTGCGAGGGAGGCAGAGCGGCGGAAACGACTCTCGGAGTCAGTGTGCTGGGTCGGTCCGGCAAGCCGGGCCGAGCCGAGGCCAGCAGGTCCGATAGGGAGGAGTTGCACGGCATCACAAAAGCGTTGTCGAACTCGGCGGCCCGCTGCGGCCGGCCGGACCAGGGCAGGGCGAGGCAGGGCGAGGCAGGGCCAGCGCTGCGGCCTGTGGCTCCGCGGCCCGTGGACCGCCCCGTGGCCTTTGTGGCCCCCGGGCAAGCCCCCGGGGCCTGGAGTCGCCAAAAAGTCACTGCACCAACTTTATTTCAAACGTTTCCCTTGACTTTGTTTCGGGCGGTCGCGTCGTGCCTCGCGGAATTGGGCCAGACGCCGTAACGAAGCCACCGTGGCGGGGCGGGGCGGGGCGTGGCGTGGCGGGCGGGCGGGGCGGGGCGGGGCGGGCGTGGCGTGGGCGTGCGTGCGTGGCGGGCGGGGCGGGGCGGCGGGGCGGGGCGTGGCGGGGCGGGGCGGGGGAGGGCGGGGCGGGGCGTGGCGGGCGGGCGTGGCGGGGCGGGGGAGGGCGCTCGCAAAGTTGGACGCGCCGGCAAATCTTGTCTAAATGAATCTGGCGACAAACCGAGTGACGGTCGGAGCCTCCGGGCGGTATGCAAAGCTGGGCTCCGGGGAGGCCGGCTCCGGGGAGGCAGGCCGGACGCCGTGAGCGGCTGA